TTCGATGGGAGAAGCGCAATGCCTTCTCGGAGAGGATGGCCTTGGATAGAGAGACTTGTACCAGCGTGCCGACACCGGCCGATGATGGGACATTTAATGTAACCAGCCTGATGACTGTGAAACCATCGAGCCTACATGAAGATGGAGACAAATATTTCTGCATCGTCAGTCACAGATCCTTGGAGCGTGAAGATGCCCAGAGTTTTACTGTTAAAGTAGAGGGTAAATTATCTTAATTTAATATAATGGTCGAATAAAAATGCCAAGGTCTTTGTATGAGTTCGATTTATTTCCATTTTTTTATTATTATTCAGTTGAAGCCAATAGGCTCTGTTAGCCACTTCAAGTCCGGACGCTTTCACCCCTTTCCTGCCCAGGCCATTTTTCAGAGTTCCAGGCTGTCACAATTTGAATGACAATTGCACGGCCATGCAACACTGTACCCAAATGAAATGCTTAGCATTTTTTCGAGACAGATAGTTTTCTTTTGGTCGTATTTATTCACTACTGGGTTTTTTCTTTTTTGCTATATAAATTAAAAAATACTGGAAATTTTGAAAAAAACATGTTTTTCTTATAAAGTTTTGCAAATAAATAATCTTTCTTCATAAATCTAGGACACAATGTATTCTGCTACCTTTTTTTTTTTTTTTTGCTAATAAAATAACTCGAATCTGTTCATAAAATAAAAATATAATTTTTCCCAAAAAATGTTTTTTTTACAATTTTTGTTTAATGTATGTATTTTTTTCACATACCGTCACCTTAGCAGTGCAGTGTCACCATAGTGACACTGTACTACTTGTGGGGGGTTATTGGGATTTGTTTCCTTTTTACACTGTGATTGCTTTTATAGCCATAAAGGATGTAAAAGCAATTGTTTCTCCTTCTCTCCGGCTGCATTCCTGCAGCCATTGAGAAATACTATGAGAACTGTGATTGGTCACAGCTTATCACATGGTCACATGGTACAAAGCTGCTCTGAATGGCCTTGTACCATGTGATCTCTTTGTTTGTTCATAGAGCTCACAAGTAGTAAACCGTGATGTCCAGGTAGTGACATCTTGTTTAATACTGTTTATGTGATTGCTGATTGGCCAATCAGCTATCACATGTAATTGGGACCGCCCACAGAGGCCCAGTACAGGGATGCCAAAGAGCATGCACAAGCGGCAGATGCTGGGGCGTTTAGAAACGCCCACCTACAACAGTGCAGCTCTTGTCTGGCCCATGCCAGAAATTTTTTTTCACACAAATAGAGCTTTCTTTTGGTGGAATTTGATCACCAGTTTTTTTTTGCTACATAAACGAAAAAAGGCAGAAAAGTTTGAAAATAAAATGTTTACTTTCTCTTATAAAACATATCCAATAAAATCAAATTTCTTTATAAACTTAGGCCAAAATGTATTCTGCTACATGTCTTTGTTAAGAAAAAAAAAAATCCCAAAAAGGGTTTGCTAATTGGTTTGTGTGAACATAGCATCTACAAACTATGGTATATATACAGTATTTGGAAATTGATCAATCCTGATGTACTGACAGGTGATTTCATTTCTTGAGGCCCAAAATGCCAGGACACTACAAATCCCCCACAAATGGCCCCCCTTTGTTTTTTTAAGTAAACAGTTTGAGGTATTTAGTAAGAGGCATTGTGAGTTTTTTGAAGTTGTAATTTTTTGGTCACAATTTTTTGGAAAATTAAGAAAAATTGAGAGAGAACTTTTTTAAACATTTTTTTTCATACTGTCACCAGTGCAGTACACTGTCATCATTAGACTAGAGGATACTGACTGGTAACATGCAAAAAATATATTTTTTTTTAAAAATAATTGTTTATTTAATTTTTTAAACATTTTTTCTTCTTTTAACATTTTGTTTACTTTTTTTTTACAATTTTTTTTTTTTTTACATAATTTCATCTATAGTCACTATAGTGACAATGAACATGACATACATGTACGTGATCCAGCCTGTCTGTGCCGCAGTAAATGCACTATGGTCGGGGGGGGCAACCGGTTAACCAGTTATGGACACTGGGTGCACTCATAAAACATCACCAGTCTACAGGGTGTGCTTAGTGCACCCTATCCTTCTGGTTATCTCCTGTTGCTCCCGCTTCGCACTGGCCAGCATTTGCAGACTGTCAAAATGACAGCCTGGAGTTGACGTGTAAACACAGCCGTAGAAGCTGCTGCTGTCAAAAAGTGCATTATCTGACACAATGTTTATAAACACTGCTCAGACACCAGACAGAGAGCTTCAAAAAAACTTCATAGAAGTTTAGATTGCGTGTTTGGTATGCCCTGTCCTGGCATGATGCTGTGCTACCCCCCCCCCCCCCCCCAATGGCGGGTGTAATTACAGAATCTGTAAAAGCTGCTGCTGTCAAAAAGCAAAAGACTGTCTGACACAGTCTTCCTTGTTGGGCTGCCTCTGAAAATTTGTGACTAAATCCAGTAGCAGAACTAAAAGGGGAGGGCTGCAGGGACCCCTTTGGGTAGTCACGAGGTTCTTTATTTTCCTAAATGTCAACATTTCTCTCTACAGTCTTGACTGATGGTCTGTTTTATGTCTTTGCAGAGCCACCTACAAGCAGTCACCTACTTTCAATAATAATACTGTCTCTAATTCCGGTTGTGATTTTAGTTATAGCATTATCGCTGTATTTCATGAAATGTAAGTACCATTCTTACTTAAAGCTAAACTATAATGGTTTTTGGTCGGTTTTAATTTATTTTTAATTTTGGGCCCATTTACACCAGCGTGGTCTGCTGTCGTGTAGTAAATGCATGCATGTTAATGCGCGTTGTGTCACACATTGCATTAGGGCGGCTTATTTATATGAATTGGTTACCCAGCGCATCACAGTGAATTGGAGATCATGCATGCAGTAATTTTGTCTGCACGCAGCATCACAACCAACATTAGCGAGTTCGATGTCATTCGGAATGGCACTGTATTGCACCAACACACGTAACATGTGTTGCCATAGTATGTTTAACATGACTGGGACCAAAAGGTTTTTAAACTGATTTTTTTTTTTTTGAGGCCAGCTTCACACCTTTGTTTTGTAGTAACACACACGTTGCTGCAATGTTGCTGTGCAACTCCAAGCAAATATCAGTCCCCGCCCCCAAGGAGCTTACGATCTAAAATCCCTAACTCTCATTCATACATACACATACTAGTGCATGTAATAATGTGATAGTGGTATAGATGTGAATTGGGTATCCAAAAAAAAAAAAAAAAACCTGTGATGGGGTTCCCCATAAAAATGTACACCAGACCCTTATTGTTGTATAGGAGTATTAACTGCGCTTGGATAAACCTCTAAAAGCAGCCAGCATAAATTTGATTGATCACAAATAAAACATATTATATATAGATATGCAGCGCTCAGTAACTCAGGAAAGTCCACATAGTATGAAAATCTTCATCCATGATAAAGAATAAGTCCCAACACCAGCCAAAGTGTGGAAATGTACTGCTCCACAGTAGTCGAGAAACCTCCAAAGACTGATCGCCAAACTCCATACAATGTGGCCCAGAAATTTCACTCCAGAATAGCAAGAAGAGTGTACCTCATATGGATAAAATAAATGGAGAGAATATCCCGTAGTGAAGTACGTTCCAAAATATAATCTTTATTAACCATTTCAAGTCCGGACACTTTCCCCCCCTTCCTGTCCAGGCCAATTTTCAGCTTTCAGCACTATCACACTTTGAATGACAATTGCGCGGTCATGCAACACTGTACCCATATTAATTTTTTAGCATTTTTTTGAGACCACTAAAACTTTATTTTGGTGGTATTTTATCACCACTGGGATTTTTATTTATTTGCCATATAAATGAAAAAGTCCAAACATTTTGAAAAAAAAGTGTTTTTCTTATAAAATTTTGCAAATATATAATCGTTCTTCAAAAATCTTTGCCAACATGTATTCAGCTATTTTTAGTAAAAAAAAAAAATAACCCAAACTAGCTTATAACAAAAAATTATAAATTTTTAAAAATGTTTTTTTACATATTTTATTTTTGTATATTATGTTTTTTTTTCACATTCTGTCACCCTAGCAGTACAGTGTCACCATAGTGACACTGTACTACTTTGTGGGGGGGTGATGAAGATTTATTTATTTATTTTTGTACACTGATTGCTTTTACACCCATAAAGGCTGTAAAAGCAATCATTTCTCCTTCTCTCTGGCTGTATGCTTGCAGCTATTGAGAAATACTGTGTGAGCTGTGATTGGTTACAGCTTGTCACATGGTACAAGGTTGTTTTGAATAGCCCTGTACCATATGACCTCTGTGATCATTCACAGATTTCACAAATATTAAGCAATGATGTCAGGAAGTGTCATCTTGCTTACTATTATTCCTGTGATCACTGATTGGCCAATCAGTGATCACATGATCAGCACCTCACACAGATGTCCCGTACAGCAATCTGTGCCTTGCGCTCCCAGGGAGCGCGCACAGACAGTGAATGTCTGGGCCGTTTATAAACGGCCACCGCTTCGGCACTGCTCCCGTCCTGCCGTTTATGTACATGGGCCAGACGGGAAGTGGTTAAAAGAAACACACTCACATGGTTATTAGTAGAAAAGCGCTTGTAGACAAACCACCAAGATGGCTGCGGCATCCAGCGTGCTGCCGTCATACATTACAGATCGCACCCAATATGTTTCCGCATAAGCCGATGCTATCAGGGCGCCCCTGATGACCCTTGATGAGGGCCTGATATCATTTAACTAGTTGCCGACCGCAGATAGCCGAATGACGGCTAAACTGCGGCCGGCCAGTTCTGAGTGGACGTCATATGACGTCCTCCCAGAATGCGCTCTCCTGCGCGCCCCAGGGGGCGCGCACCCGGCGATCTCCATGATCGCTGTGTCCTACGGACACAGCTGATCACGTGATGTGGTAAAAGGCCAATCACAGCGGCCTTTTACCACGTGATCAGCGGTGTCCAATGACACGCTGATCAGAGGGAAATGCAAGTGCCGGTTCTCGACTGCACTTTCCTCACGCTGTCAGATCGTGAGGAAAGCACTGCCGAGAACCGGCAGTTGTCAGAGCAGGGATTGGCACCAATCATCAGGGCACTGATGATCAGTGCCCTGATGATCGGTGCCCAGCAGTGCCACCCGCAAGTTCCGCCCACCTGTGCCCAGCAGTGCGCCCACTAGCTCCGCCCACCTGTGCCCAGCAGTGCACCCACCTGTGCCCAGCAGTGCAGCCACCTGTGCCACTCTGCAGTGTCACACACCTGTGCCCAGAAGTGCCACCTACCTGTGCCCAGCAGTGCCACCCACCTGTGCCCACCAGTGCCACCCACCTGTGCCCACCCACCAGTGCTGCCCACCAGTGCAGCCCAGCAGTGCTGCCAGTCAGTGCCACCAGTCAGTGTCCAGCGGTTGTGCCAGTCAGTGCCGCCAGTCAGTGCCCAGCAGTGATGCCAGTCAGTGCCGTCTATCAGTACCCATCATCAGTGTCACCTATCAGTGCCGCCTATCAGTGCTGCATATTAGTGCCGCCTATCCGTGACACCTCATTAGTGCTGTCTATCAGTGCCGCCTATCCATGCCACCTCATTAGTACTGCCTATCAGTGCCCTTTAGTGCTGCATATCAGTGCCCATCAGTGCTGCCTCATCAACGCACATCAGTGAAGGAGAAAAATTACCTGTTTGAAAAATTTTATAATAGAAACAAAGAAACTTTTTTTTTTCAAATTTTTTTGCACTTTTTTTATTTATAGCGCAAAAAGTAAAGCACCCAGTGGCGATTAAATACCACCAAAAGAAAGCTCTATTTGTGAGAAAAAAATGATCAAAATTTCATATGGGTACAATGTTGCATGACCGCGCAATTGTCAATCAAAGTGCGGCAGCGCTGAAAGCTGAAAATTGGCCTGGTAAATAAGGGGGTATAAGTGCCTGGTAGGCAAGTGGTTAAAGTGCTAGTAAAGTCCCCTTGGTGATTTATACCTACAGGTAAACTTATAATAAAGCCTACCTGTAGGTAAAATGAATATCTCCTAAACGTGCACCATTTAGGAGATATTAGCTCTTTCGGCAACCATTGACATCACTGACGCATGCGCTCTGAAGGAACTACCTACCCGTACCATTCCTTCAGAGTGCTGTGCCATGGCCCCTGACTCCCGCACGCAAGTGGCCAATCAAGCTACTGGAACCAGCGTAACTGGATAGAAGACCATGTGAAGATGGAAGTCCTGTCAGAGGTGACAGCGCATGGCCAGAAGGCTTTGTTCTAGGGTAAGGATCTCATAATGTGTTAGTATGCAATGCATACTAGCAGTCTAGAAGGTTATAACATTGACTTGCAGGATTTTTTTTTTATGCCGTGATTTACTACCACTTTAAGGAGAAAATCCATATCAAAGTTCAAACCTAGATGTGCCGTGTTCTGATGCTGTAATGGGTTTTTCATGCATTTGTATAAATGTTGTCTCTTTGATGATCTGTTAGGAGTGATTATGCTTACATATGTACTTGATACATATACCCTTGTAGTCCTAAAAGAGGCTACAAGTCCCTCAAAGCCTGTGGTCCTTTAGTGCTTGTTGTGTGGCCCTTCCAAACCAGTAGTCCCATTTCCAACCACATTGATTTCAAAAGTGGGAATACCAGTGATTCCTTCTAACATTATGTATCATGTCCCCAGTTTCTCGGCCTTCTTTTTTAGTTTCCAACCAAACCTGGTGGCCTGTCCACAATCTCTGTCCACCATTTCTTCTAGTATGTTTTCAGTCTCTGACAGTCCTTTCTAGCATTCTGTATTTTGAACATGTAGTCCTATATTGAATCATTGGCTCCAGATGAGGCCCCCAACACCTCATAAGTTGACAAGCACTGGTCATAACATTTGCATTTTAGAATTATCACTCTAAATCAGGGTTTCAAAACCACGGTTCCTCCAGAGGTTCCTAGGGGTACTTTGAACAATAGGCAGCTTCTGCCTCTCAGATAAGTTCCCACTGACACCATTGATCTTTTTAGCTATCTGTAAGAAGGCAACATCTTTTTTTTTTTTTTTTTTTTTTTTTCTGTTTGTTATTTTTGTTTGTTTTCTTTGTCTGTTTTTTGTTTTCTGTTTATTTATTTATATTTATTTCACCATTTATCGGTGCATTATATTACACAGTTTGTTTTTTCCCCTTACTTATTGGGTAGCGCAGCATAATTTTTTGTTCAACATCTAAGGAGGTAACATGCAAGTGTACGGAGCATTCTTCCCACTGACCATCACACTAATGTGTCATGGGTTGTAGATATAGTAATGTTTAGCAGGGGTTCCCTGTGACCAGAAGGCTATTTCAAAGGTTTCTCTGTGTTGGAAAGGTTGAGAAAGGCTGCTTTAAATCTTTGACTTCTCTTGCAGTATCACCAAAGATTTCGGACATCACTGGAATAGAGAATTTGGTTCATGGGAAGAGCTCCAATCTGTCCTGGATGGTGTCAGGCTTCAAACCAAGAAACATTGAGATAAAAGTTTACCTGGAAAGAGGCGATAATCAGCAAGTAATTAGTTCCTGGAAATACCCGCCACCAAAGGAGGAGATGTATGATCGTGTAGATCATGTAGAGAGAGGAGACGGATTAAAGCTGCTTCAGCAGGAACCTGCAATAAAACATCTCAAACCTAAGATTTCAATCTTTTCCTATAGTTGTCTTTGTTCTATAAGTTTAATCCCGGACAAAAAGAATGATAAAGGGGCCAAACTCGTCATAGAAGTAAAACACGCTGCCATGAAATCTTCACTTCTCAAACAGAAGAAACTGAATATCACTGGAGGTAAGTTAGAAAGACAAATAATTGTATGAAATTTTTTTTTTTAAATTGTGACCTGATTAACTGATTGTATTTACGTGGCAGTACAGGAAGTGATAGGAAATCTCTCCAACAGGGACACAGAAAAAAATAAAACCACATTTTGGTGTGGACTGTCAGTCAGTGTTCGGGGTATGCCTCCCACAGAACTATTGTGTTTTGGCAGCAGGGATGATTACTGCTATCAATTGATGGATCAACCTGGGCATAATCGGTCTGCCCATACATGGATTCAGTCTCGGACAGTCACTGCTTAAGGGGTGGCCAGTTTGAGAGAAAGCTGGGTGTTGTAGATCTTCTCCCTTGCTTAGAATTTTTTTATAGCTCCTGCTCATTGAAAGGCTAAAATTCTTAAGTATTCATAAGGCTGTATGACATAACTGATGTGGAGTTCTTTGTTGTGAATTTTGTAACTCTAAGTTTATTTGCTTTCTTTTTGTAGATCTTTTCACAGCTCACATTATGACCCCGCAATGTCTAAAACACGGGGAAGAAGTGACTCTGATTTGTGATATCACTAAATGTGATCCGGGACCTCTAATGATTACTTGGCTGAAAGGGAAACAAGTTATATATAAAGATGGGAAGATACAAGACACAAGATATAAACATGAAGAAACCAGAGATGAACCACACGAGGGTAATGTACTCAAGACATCCAGCAACTTGACGTTCATGGCGAAGGTTATAGAGGATCACCGCGTGAAGTACACCTGCAAGGTCGCCTACTCTGAAATAGGAAAAATTTTAAGTTCCTACTATGAGGCATTAATTACAGGTATGGAGTTGGGTCAGAGTATAATTCTAGTTGTGTAGACCTTTTGCTATCACAAATGGAAATCTTCCATGTGACTTCTAGTTTATTTGCAACTCATCAGTAAAGGAGTCTCCACTGATTTAGAAGAATAGGACCTTTGTGTAAGAACTTCTTTGGCAGTGCTTTCACCTCACCCATGTTGCGTCTTGTAACTTCAAGTGGAGTCCTCAGTTGACATACAGTGGGGCAAAAAAGTATTTAGTCACCACCAATTGTGCAAGTTCTCCTACTTAAAAAGATGAGAGAGGCCTGTAATTGGTATCATAGGTAGACCTCAACTATGAGCGACAAAATGAGAAAACAAATCCAGACAATCACATTGGCTGATTTGGAAAGAATTTATTTGCAAATTATGGTGGAAAATAAGTATTTGGTCACTACAAACAAGCAAGATTTCTGGCTCTCACAGACCTGTACCTTCTTCTTTAAGAGGCTCCTCTGTCCTGCACTCATTACCTGTATCAATGGCACCTGTTTGAACTTGTTATCAGTATAAAAGACACCTGTCCACAACCTCAAACAGTCACACTCCAAACTCCACTATGGTGAAGACCAAAGAGCTGTCGAAGGACACCAGAAACAAAATTGTAGACCTGCACCAGGCTGGGAAGACTGAATCTGCAATAGGCAAGCAGCTTGGTGTGAACAAATCAACTGTGGGAGCAATAATTAGAAAATGGAAGACATACAAGACCACTGATAATCTCCCTCGATCTGGGGCTCCACGCAAGATCTCACCCCGTGGGGTCAAAATGATCACAAGAACGGTGAGCAAAAATCCCAGGACCACACGGGGGGACCTAGTGAATGACTTGCAGAGAGCTGTGACCAACGTAACAAAGGCTACCATCAGTAACACACTACGCCGCCAGGGACTCAGATCCTGCAGTGCCAGATGTGTCCCCCTGCTTAAGCCAGTACATGTCTGGGCCCGTCTGAAGTTTGCTAGAGAGCATTTGGATGATTCAGAAGAGTATTGGGAGAATGTCATATGGTCAGATGAAACCAAAATAGAACTGTTTGGTAGAAACACAACTCGTCGTGTTTGGAGGAGAGAGAATGCTGATTTGCATCCAAAGAACACCATACCTACTGTGAAGCATGGGGGGTAGCAACATCATGCTTTGGGGCTGTTTCTCCGCAAAGGGACCAGGACGACTGATCCATGTACAGGACAGAATGAATGGGGCCATGTATCGTGAGATTTTGAGTGCAAACCTCCTTTCATCAGCAAGGGCATTGAAGATGAATGTCGCAACATGACAATGATCCCAAACATGCCGCCCAGGCAATGAAGGAGTGGCTTCGTAAGAAGCATTTCAAGGTCCTGGAGTGGCCTAGCCAGTCTCCAGATCTCAACCCCATAGAAAACCTTTGGAGGGAGTTGAAAGTCTGTGTTGCCCAGCGACAGCCCCAAAACATCACTGCTCTAGAGGAGATCTGCATGGAGGAATGGGCCAACATACCAGCAACAGTGTGTGCCAACCTTGTGAAGACTTACAGGAAACGTTTGACCTCTGTCATTGCCAACAAAGGATATATAACAAAGTATTGAGAGGAACTTTTCATATTGACCAAATACTTATTTTCCACCATAATTTGCAAATAAATTCTTTCCAAATCAGCCAATGTGATTGTCTGGATTTTTTTTCTCGTTTTGTCTCTCATAGTTGA